TGGTGATGGCGATGTTGATTGCAAAAGACATAAGACAGCAAAGCTGGTTGGGGGACTATAGAGAGAAGATGGAAATATTGAGGGAGAAAGAGAGGGTTCCGGTGATAGACTAAAATATACAAGTTCCATGGGCGTTGACTTATGCAGTGCAAAATGGACTCTAAGGAGGGTTTTTTTTTCTCTCTTGTTATCCAGCTATCAGCAGTTCTGATGTAAGCTTCTATGGACTCCATAGTTTTCTCTTTCGTGTTATACTTGCTTGCCGTCTATTTAATAGAAAATGGGTAAAGACGGAAAAGCACTTATTGAGAAGCAAGACCAGAAGCACTCATTTAAACATTAATCAATTTCGGCCCGAGAGATGGCACCTCTAGGTTAGATCCTCCTTATTCAAAAGTCTAGAAGCTTCGAGATTGTTCTTTATTATGTAAAAGTAGCTAGATATATAAATTTGATAATTTTGATAATTTTCCAATTTTTTCTTTATCTATACATTAGGGTTTGTCCTCTCACTCTCTTCACTAGTCGGACATTACACCTCGTCGCATCTCTCTCTCTCTCTCTAACTTTGTCTATCCTTCCTAACGTTAGGGCTTTAATCTCGTCTTAGGGTTGTCAATATTGTCGGAGCTGATTACTTTGTGACAAACCTAGATTCAAAGGTAATATATATTCCGATCGTATTTGAGCTAATTTTTATATGTATGTGTTTGAATTTATAAATTTTGTTCACTATTTTGAAGATTTTAAAGATTTGACATTGTTTTCGGCAAAAACTTTAAGCATTCAAGATATTAATCAATTTTCACATTTTCTATGATTGATCATAAGCTAGATTGCTGAGAAACTTTCAATTAGTTCACTATCCGGCTAAAATCTCTATTTTTCTTTTTTGCCTTTAAATTTGCAATAGCTAATGTGCTTTTCTATTGATCTTGAGCTTTGTATGTAAGTTGAGGTCATAGCAGTGACGGGTCAGTAGTCATATAATACCAAACGCCTAAATAAACAAACCCCTAACAAATTTGGGGTAAAATTGTTTTGGATAGCTAAAGAAAATGAAATTAAACATTCTTTATTATATCTTTCTAGGAAACACAAAAGGAGTACAAGATTTGCAAAGAGGATGACAAAGTTGTGCTTTCTAAAATTGAATGTGACAAGGCTTTCAAACTTCAAGTCTTTTATCGAACAATTAGGCATACAAACTTCCATGTCTATTCACATATATACTTAGCTTCAAACATGAAACCTTTATACTATCATCATGACCTTCATATATAAGGAAGAGGGATGAGCCAAATCCCAACCAAAGTTGCTTTGAGACAAGAATATTCAGATTTCAAATTATAATAAGCAGTCCAAAATCTTATAAGCTAAATTTGCATTTGAAACGTAACCTATGCATTTTCATTTCACAAACTAGTGATAATGCCCATACAAAAAATACAAAACAAAACATAATTAGGTTGATTCTGATTATGTCAAAACCACAATTTAAGATAGCATTCACAATATCAATAGATTTAAGTTCCAAAGAAGATATATTGTTGTGTTTTCTTGTTGACCTTCAAGTTTTCATCACACTTGTAGAATTTTGATATCTTTTAGTTGAGCAAAGAGTTTGGAATTATCCAATGAGAGATGAAAACACCTACACAGAAATAAAATAATAAAACATAAGGGGCATCCCTTTCATTGTACAAAAGTGCACTTGATGTTTAAGGCTATAACATTGTCTACTAGTATATTTTTTTAAATTAGTTGCTTGTCTTCTGATTTTGTTCAGTGTGCCATTTATGTTTTTTATTTTATTTTATTTCATTCTATGATATTTGAGTGTGCTTGAACTGAATATCTACCAAATGGTGGATTAATGGCACTTGTTAAGCCATTATTGATGCAGAATAGTGTCTTCACCTCTGCAACTTTATATACCAAAATGTCCATGTATATATTTTAAGGTGCTAATTTGCGCTCAAAAGGATATTAGACACAGATTCAGGTTTTTGGCTTTATATGCCAAGGATTTTGCCTCCCTTCTCTTCCCTTAGGTTGCTGCCTTTACTTTCATTGAATGTTGCAAACTTTGGTTGTCTTTAGGTTAATATTATTTACTTGCTAGCAATTTTATTACCTACTGGTACTGTACATTCTTCAGATCTGCATTTGGAATTTTTTATTACTAATTTTACCATGTATAGATAAAGCAATAGGTTGTGGCTACACTTGTTTGAATCTGGTATGAATCTTTCGGACGATGTAATTGGAAGTATCATTGACATGGTACTACTTCCTCGATTTGATTGACGCCTTTTATACGCCAAGGCTTTTGTAATATTGATGCTGGATGCTCACAATTGTGGTTATAATCACCCACTTCCCATAATTTTATGTTATACTCTGAATTTGTTATCTCACTCTGTTACTTATGCACAGCTTGAAGATGTAAGCAACCCTGTTGGTACCATTTTGGTAAATAACATGGACTACCTTTGAGGCATATGAACATGTATAATCAAGTTGATATAGGAGGGTTAGTTTTGTTTTAGTTTTATATTTTTATTTTTTCAGAAAATGTAGAGATGGGAAGATATGATTTGCAAGGGGGGGATTTTTTTTTTTTTTTTTTTTTGTTTGTAACTTCACAGTTGAAAGACAAAATAGAAGCTCATTGAGGGAATCAAGGATCTCTATTGATTAGATGATATTACAGAGTCATAATCTATCCCTACTGTTTGCCTACCATTTGGCTCTTGTTGCCTATAGATGCAAAACCCACAAGGAAATTGAGGAAGAAACCCTATTTTCTATTTTTTTAGAAATGGAGACAGTTTTGAGGTCTTGACAAGGATGTATCAGTTGTGTGAAATAGTGAAAGCCTGTGTGTTCACCGTGAGAGTGCCAGATAACCTATTTTGGATTGTTACTTTCAGTAAAACTGAAGTCTATCTTAAACATCAAGGAAGCACAAATATGGAATACAGGGTACAAATATGATATGATAATTTGTCAAAATCTATATATATAATAAACTAAGATATAGCTATAGCAGGGTACAATAGTAAAAATATATATTTGAACGAGTCAAAAGTGAAAGACTACCTATTTTTTCACTCAACAGACTTGTAATTCCTCATGGTTTTTGGTAATTTAATCGTGATTTGGTGAAATGAAGCCTGAGTAATTGATGCAGGACAAATAGGGACAGCGTTGTAAGGACTGTTCTAGGGTTGTGAAAGTGCTGAAATTTAAGAAGAAAAAAAAAAAAAGAAGATAAATTTAGGAATCACTCCTAGAATCCCTTAGGCATCACACAACCCATAAAGAAGCTTCAAAGTTCTCAACTTTTTATAAAATATCAACTTTATTGAATTATAGCGGGATGGTGTAAGTGGAGAAGTGCGTCTGGGGTATTGTGCGATAAACGAATACCCACTAGACTAAAAGGTAAGTTTTATAGAACGGCTATTAGACCAGCTATGTTGTATAGGACGGAGTGTTGGGCAACCAAGAAACAACATGTAGATAAGATGAGTGTGGCTAAGATG